CGTGTACTTGTTCGTGCTACACATTGCTCTACACTTTAAAAAAATTGTGTTGAGTATTGCAACATATGATGCCGAAACCACATTCGTACTACCGCCAGTATACAAGTCGATAATAATAATGAAATTAGGTAAAATCATTGAATTGAGGGAAATTGTTATTGTATTTAAGTTTCTATAAGCTGTTCATAGACGAAGCCTTGTACAAAGTAGTACCAGTGCGCCATCATCCTAACGCCTTGCTTTACCAATCGAGGTCCAATTCATCCGGTGCCTCGTCGTCTGAAGGAGACACGCGCGGACGGAACGGGTCGGGTGGTCGCTTGAAGCTGAACGTGCGACTGAAAAAGCTGTCGCTACGACTGCTTCGACTACTGCTGCTTATACTGTGGGTGCCGCTTGTAGAGCACTCGCTCATATCGTAGCCCGAGGCTAACAAGTTTCGGTTGCGACTAAGGTCGGTCCTACCGGTGGCATTCTTGACGCACACGACACAGAACAGCCTCTTCTTGGCTCGTCCGGACTTACTAAGCTGGAAAATATGATGCTGCTCGGAGCAGTCCTTGCACACGGTCTGTTGATGGTCAACAAGGGCGAAGTGAGAACCACACAGCATTGATTGACAACCATAAAGTAATAATAGGGACGCACCTGGTGACACCCTGCACAGTGGGGATACGAGCCCAACTTTGGCTTCCGAGCGCAGACGTGGCAGGTCGAACTTTACAGCGGAAGACAGGACGGAGATACAACGTTAGCTTTGCGTTGAGACAGCAAGTACGGGTGCAAATGACACGCAACGAGTTACAGTACCTGGATGGCAACCATTGATGGCTGTCAGCTTCGTCCATGAGCGTGCTGAAGTTCTTGGCTCGGCCACCTTTTGGACTACGAACGACGTTGAGCCAAGTGCTGGCAACACCAAGCTGAATCGCCTTCTCCGGAGCAGATCCGAACTTTAGAATCGATCCCCAAAGGAAGACCTCTGTCTTGTTGGTGCGCTTGTGTCGACGGTAGAGATAGCAGGACGCAGTGTGCTGCCGTAACATTCCCGGCGTGGCTTCGGACGGCCACTCTGGCCTCTTGATCGACTGTAGCGTGTGGTAAGCAAGTTCGTGGCCACGGGCATCCGTTGTGGTACCCATCCGTTCGTAGGTCAGTGCGTCTCGGTCGTGTAGTAACCCCCACGCACACCTACCGGCAAACCACTTGATACCTGCAAACCGGAACGGGTCTTCGGGTGTGCGACGTTCGTGTATGTTAAGCACCGATCCGTCCTTGAGGTCGTAGCCTAGTAGAACTTTGGCAGTGCGAAGTTCGTCCGTTGTCTCACAGTACAAGCCGCCCATGACGTCTTCGAGTCGACCATCAATGAGACCCGTGCCGACCATGACGATGATCGAAGGGTTCGTCGAACCTGGTACGCTGTTGAAGACGCTGACCTCTTTTCGGCGCTTCACGAACGCCCAGTGCTGCGGGTCGATCTTCTTGGGGTTAAATTTGGCCCGCTCAGCCACAGTGTCTTGCAAGAATTTCCTCGCGGCGTAGTCGTACATTACGCGCTCCTCAAAAGAGAGTTTAATCTGCGGACACCGGTCGGGATCGAACATGGCGCTGACCAACGAGCCTAGCGACAACCGGTAGCAAATTCCGTTGTGAGTTATGTGGGATGGCTCGAATTACGAATCTTAGTCTGGATTGTCACGCGAAGGGCGCCTACCGACTTTGATATCAAGAGATTGCGCCTAAGTCAGCTCATCGGAGCAGTGAACTGCGAAGACTGTCTTCGAGACAGGGAGGCCCTCGGTCCTCGTCTGACATGTACACCTGTGTGTGTACATGTGCTGTAGTATTAAAACAATACAATGCTGCTCAATTTAAGCCTCAACGGTATCCGCTGACTCAACACATATCGGTCAACTGC